GCATACATACACTGCGGGCAACTAAGTCTACAGGCCTAAATGAGGTTATAAGTTACAAACCATTCCTATGCCAAAAGTAAAATGTTTGATTTTTTGTAACAATCACAGATTACTGCTATATAATATACTATTTGTTCATAATATAGAAGAATGATTTGTTAATGAAATATGGAGTATTTATATATTTATTTATTTTTAAAGTATGCTCAATATGTTTCTTGAAGCAATGCTAATAGCGGTGCCCACTGTACTGCTGTTTGATCGTGGGCACGGACATTAAAGAATAGGTTGGATACCTTAGATCATTTATATAATTGGTGGCCTTGCCCCTTTCAAAACTGACCAAGCTTGAATAAACTTTGGAATGTACATTCATAGCTGAAGGCTGGAAAAGGGTTAATCCTTTCGTTTTTGGATGTTCAATTGGGACTTCCTGACAGGAAGTGACATTTTTTGCAAATTGATGGTTTTTGAGGTTTTTTTCCCCTATGCGCATGCGCTTCAAGCCTCTTTTTGCGCAAATGTGCGTAAACGGCGCCTACGCAGGACGTGATTTCATAATTGGCCTTTTTGCGTCCGGCGAGGAGGATATAAGAGGGGATGAGGGTTTTGACACTCAGGTGGTTGTAGCTCAGGAGAAGGTTTAAGGTGCCCATACACTGCTCCATTCTCGTACGATAATCGGGCTAAATCCCGCGATCGTACGAGAATCGAGCAGTGTGAACAAAGACGTGCGACCGTTTCTACTGTACGGTCGCACGTCTTTTGTCGAACCAACATGCTCGAAAACCCGCCGAGAATCGTACGATTGTCGGCGGGTTTCTAGCCTGCTCGTCCGATAGCTGCGGAACGGGCCGGTGTGCGCACGCGCACACTGCCCGTTCTGCATTGCGGTCATCGGAAGCCCGCCCCTCAGCGGGGCGGGCTTTTTCGATGATCGCAAGTACGATCTGCCCGTCCAAGGTGGGTCGATCGTACGAGCTTTCAATAAGCATACAACCATCACAAGACAAAAGTCTTGCGATGGTCGTAAAGGTGTATGGGCACCTAAAGAAAAGAGAACTGGCTACATTTACGGTAAGAGACAAACTTATGGAGACTTTTGTTTGTTTGCTTTGATTAGATGCACTTTGGTGAAAAGGCCCTAGAGGCCTGTGTACCTGTCCTTTTAAAGATTTGTCATTATCTCAGAATGTAATATTGACATACCTCATTGGTCTTACTTAGAGGCTGTGTTCTGAGCCCAAGTTGTTGGCTATAGAAGGTACACCGGTGATGGAAATGGATAATGCCAGGTAACACGATAAACTATATTCGTTTTTCCCCATTTGGGCAGATCCCTTTATGGTCTTTTAAAGAGTGTTCATTGTCCTTTCATAGGTGTGATCTATTCAATAAGAAGAATTTGAGATGTTGTCACTTAATAGAAAATCTGGCCTCTTCTGAAACTTCTCTCACTCTGTCGTTTCCTGCTTTGACTCGGGGGCTGCCTTGCTCTTCACCCAGTCTCTATCGGTCCCTCCCCGTCCGCGCCCATGATTGAGTGACGGTCAGTGTTAGATCTAGCCATCTTTACAGACTAGTGTAAGTTTATTAAACCAAACAAATTGTATTAAATATTCAAATGCATTTATTTACATAGGTAAACTATGAACTCTTTGTAAATAAAACATGATTTTTTGTAGAAAGACAGCAGCCTATTTCCCAAAGAAGCGGATCTCCGTGAAACGTGTTGAAATCTGTTTTCCTCCCACGGGACTACAAATTAAACTAGGAAGCTGATATTCAGCAAATTGCAACAAGTATTGTAATATAGATTAAAATGTGGGAGGATGTGGTTACATTCTATGGTCTTGTTGTCTTTCTTCTAAAACCGTGCATTTTAAATAGATTTATAAAAAAAAAAAATGGGTATACTTTATATAAAAACTAAATAAGTTTTGTGTGATCCTTGAAGTACCTTAAAAGTCCAAACCCTCTTTTTCTTCATTAGTAATCAGCTAACTAATCGATTTTGAACATAATCATTAGCTGCAGCCCTAGTGTGTTCAGTGTCTCCTTTGAGGATTTTCATAAAGAATTTGGAAAAAAGTGATAGGGATTAAAAGTGCCATTTCTGTGTTTGCAGATGATACCAAGTTATGTAGTGGAATACAGTCCTTACAGGATATCTCCAACTTACAAGCAGATCTGAATGCACTGTATGATTTGGCATCTAATGAGGTTTAATGCTGATAAATGTAAAGTTATGCACTTGGGGACTAAAACCATGCATGCTTCATACACTCTAAGGGGGAGTACGTTTGGGGGAATCAATGATGGAAAAAAATCTGGGTGTACTGGTAGACCATAGACTCAATAATAGAATGCAATGTCAAGCCGCAGTTTCTAAAGCAAGCAAAATACTTTCTTATATTAGAGCATAGACTCCAGAGAGACATAACCCTGCCCCAGTACAAAGCATTAGTAAAGCCTCATCTGGAATATGAAGTTCAGTTTTGGGCACCAGTTCCCAAAAAGGATGTTGTGGATAAAGTGCAGAAAAGGGCAACTAAACTAAGAGGCATGTGGAAACTCTGCTATGAGGAAAGATTAGCTGCACTGAATTTGCGCTCTCCAAGGAAGAGGCGATTAAGGAAGGAAGAGGCATGATCACCATGTATAATTACATAAATGGTCCGTAGTGAGCTTGGTGCCAAATTATTCCCTTTAAGGACACTGCAAAGGACAAGGGTGCACTCTTTGCACCTGGAGGAAAAGAGGTTTAAGCTTTGCATACAGAAAGCATTCTTCAGTTAGAGCTGTGAACATGTGGAATAGACTCCTCCAGTTAAAGGAGAACTATGAGATGAGTGATTTCCACTCAATTCCCGTTTTCGTCCTTTATTGGGCCTATCTGCTTTTTTTAAAAACCATTAAAGGAGAACTATGGGGTCAGTGTTTTTCCCCATAGTTCTCCTTAGGGTAACGGGAGGACGCTAGTTTGTGTCCTCCCGTTACCCTAAGGAGAACTATGGGGAAAAACACTGACCCCATAGTTCTCGTTTAAAGGTTTTTAAAAAAAGCAGATCGGCCCAATAAAGGACGAAAACGGGAAGTTAGTCACAAATGACAAGGAACAAAGGGATACAAAGGGCGCAAAGACAATAGACCACTAGCTTACTTGACAGACCGTGGTAAAAAAATAAATGTATAAGCACTTACATGTAGATCATGGGACCAGAGTATGGACGGCCAGTGTGGAGGATCGGGAAACCCGTGATGTGTGCCCGAATCTGGTGTGCCCGAATCTGGCTGATCGTTCTGAGCTTGAAAAAGAGGGTACACCTCGAAACACGTTGCTCTCCACCCTCCTTTCGCGTTACAACCGTCATCCCATCACAGATCTGACTGACTGCCGACATTTCCAGATACCGGCTCCCGCACACTGCCCCAGTCTGCACTGACAGAGACCGAGCACCAGTATCTATAGCCACGGCCACAGCTGTTCAGCCTGCATCTGACACCGCCGATTCTCCCTCACACCGCTCAGCTCCCGGACTCACACAGCGGTGCCACGGACTGAGCTCCCATTCCCCCCTCCTCGCTCACAGCCTTCTCTCCCCTTGTGGATGCACGTCCCCAGGCAGTACACCAGCCAGATTCGGGCACACATCACGGGTGTCCCGATCCTCCACACTGGCCATCCACCCTCTGGTCCCGTGATCTACATGTAAGTGCTTATACATTTATTTTTCTACCACGGTCTGTCAAGTTAGCTAGTGGTCTATTGTCTTTGCGCCCTTTGTATCCCTTTGTTGCTTTACATTCACAGGTTATCCTCCTGTTCCCCAGGGCTGCATGCTTTTCAGTTAGCTTCCCATTCTTAGGACCCCCATCCGAGAGCGCTGTTTATGTCATTTTGTTTTTTACAAATGACAAGGAGAAGGCCGAGGCGCTGAACACTTTTCTCTTCAGTATACACTCAGGAGGGAAACGGGTTTGACGTACATGATAAAACACATAGTTCAATACAAAATATACCTCAGTGGTTGACAGAAACCGGGATACAACAAAGACTAAAACTACTTAATGCAAATAAAGCAGTGGGACCAGATAACCAGCACCCCAAGGCTGCTATAAACAAAGCAAGTAGGGTCTTGTCCTGTATTAAGAAGGGGATGTATTGCAGACACAAGTCTATAATTGTGCCACTTTATAGAACGCTGGTTCAGCCTCATTTGGAGTACGCAGTCCAGTTTTGGTCACCAGTACTAAGAAAAGATGTCCTTGAGCTGGAGAGAGTCCAGCGGAGGGCAACCAAACTAATTAAGGGAATGGAGGACCAGAGCTATGAGACAAGGCTACTAAATTTAAAAATGTTCAACGGCCGGGAATCTGCTCGTCGGGCTCCACTGTCTGCTCGTCACAGACGAGTGGACGAGTGGATTTTTCGAGCCCTGTCTATAGGTATATTAAGCAACAGAGATTGTTGATTCAGGGAATATCCAATTGCCTTATGGGATCAGGAAGGAATGTTTTTCCCCTGCTGGAGCAAATTGAACTATGCTTAAAGGGTTTCTAAACCCTCAGCTTTTTTTGCATATATCTACTGCTAGCAAGCAAGCCCAGGGGAGTGAGCTCTGGATCGGACACCCGCCACAGCGCTGGAGAGAAGACATCAGGAAAGATCGGATTAAGAGACAATTTAACGTAAGTGCTTTAGTTAACGTTGGGGTGAGGGGTTTAATGTCACTTTAATAGGGTTTTGTTTTTTGTTGGTTTTTTTTTTTTTAACTTCCTCTGGATCAACAGTGGGTAACTGTGGGCATAGAGTTCTGTTTAAGGGTTTTTGTTTCTTCTCTTATCTCTATAGGTTGAACGTAATGGATTTGTGTCTTTTTCAACCTATGTAACCTTTCCTCTTCTGGAACACGCCACTTTTCCTAATATAAAATTCTGCACAACCTAGTCCTAGACTACACACAACTGCTTGGCTTCCATGTCATGTGTTTACTTACCAACAGGTTCAGGAATCTCCATGCCTAGAACATTGGAACCTAAAAGAAATCGAAATCATTAAGAAATGCCTTGATATCATTGTTAAATACATTTACAAACAATTTCTTATTGTTTCTAGTTTGTCCCACATTATTATTATACAGGATTTATATAGCGCCAACAGTTTGTGCAGCGCTTTACAATATAAAGATATTACAATAACAATTCAAGACAAGATGGTAAGGGGGGCCCTGCCCGTGAGGGCTCACAATCTAAAAGATAGGTGTTAAATAGTCCAACACACACAGCAAAGGGCATTCAGGGCAATGTAACAAGTTCTCCTAATAAGAAACATCCTCTTGGGGGCACATGCGCGCGGCTGCCGATGACGGGTGCTAAGTGAGACAGCTCCGTGACTCCTCCGGACAAATACCCCATTAGCACGGAGCAGACTCCTAATCAGCCAAAACTCACCTCACCCCAACCTCGGACCGACACCCGGTGCCAGCCACGTCGCAATCCCGATCCAGGAATGGCCAAAAAAACAAGAATACGGGAAAACGCATAGCAAAGGCTTTACCTGGCGCCTCAGCCAAGATGGCGGCGTCTCCAGCCACATGCACAGCCCCCTCACAGACTGCCTCAGCCTCGAGCAGTGACATGGAGGACGGTGAACAGACAAACACTCGCCAACAGAAGGGCTCCCATTCCGCCCTGCTACATCGATGCCATGCTGCAGAAAGCTCTGCATGTAACATCCAAACAGATCACGGACTGCCTCTTGAAAGAGATCCGTGAAATAGGCCATTGCACGGCGGCTCTTAAAGACAGATGCGATGATTTCACAAGTGATCTGGCAGACCAAGCAAAGGAACTAAAGGCACTCCGAGATGACAATAAAACACTTCTGTCCAAATTAGAGGATATGGAAAATAGGTCCCGCAGCTTGAACCTGCGTATTCGTAGCCTACCAGAACATATCACAGACCTGTGTCCCACTGCTCTATCACTTTTTCCCAAGAACTGGCGTCGAACTCCCGTTTGAAAGCTTGGAAATGGATCGAGTCCACCGTACACTGACTCGAAAGAAGCCAGACGGGAGGGGGCGTGTCCTGCACATGGCGGAATAGGCTGCATAGCGTGAGACCTAACACAACTTCAACCACTCTTTTTCGACCCACCTGACCATGTCGAAGCGCAGGAAAGAGGAGGGACCCCCTTCGCAGAGGGGAACCCCGTCCCTGCAGCGTTATTTCTCCTCCACGAGGACCGGGACCCGCGACCAATCCAATATGGCAGCGGAGGGCGAACCACCATCCTCGCCTCGAGGCTCCACACGATCCCTCTCCCTGGCCCGGAATGGGATGACATCGGGCATGCGGTCGCCCCGGCTATACGACTCCGATTCCACGGATGTGGATCAATACCCGCCCCGTGACCCTCCGACGGATGTCCCGCGGGAATTCCGGCCGCTCCTGCGCTATCTACCCACGAAAGAGGACTTTGCGGCCCTGGTCACGAGGGTGGAGGCCGCACTACAACGGGACCTGCATAAAGTCCGCCAGGAGGTTCAGGCGGTGTCCGCGGAGGTCTCCACGGTTACGGAGTCCTTTGCGGCGATCGAGGCACGTGTCCAACGCCTAGAACAGACCAAGCCGGACCCGTCACCTCACCTCGCATCCCTGCAGTTACAGATGGAAGACCTGGAGGACCGCAACCGCCGCCAAAACATCCGGATCCGGGGGCTCCCGGAGGCGACCTTGCCGGCGGATCTTCGGTCCACCGTACAGGCCATTTTTGGCTCACTTTTACCTGCGGCCACCCCGGACTCCATCCTAATGGACAGGGTCCACCACACCATTGGCCCTGTACCTGCAGATCCTTCCCGCCCGCGTGATATCCTGTGCCGCCTGCACTATTTCACAATGAAAGAGGACATCCTGTGGCAGGACTGGTTGAAAAGACCCGTGGAGTTTGATGGGGCCCAGCTCCAGATCAACCCTCCGACGTCGGGCCCTTCAGCGCCCCCCCACTAGATGCGATCCGTCAGTCTGGGGCCATCTACCGCTGGGGTTACCCCATACGTCTCCACGTCCGCAAAGATGGATCCACATTCCAGGTTCGCACGAAGGAGGATGTATCAGCCCTGTGTGAGTTCCTGGACATACCGACCCTACACCTCCCCGACTGGCTGGCCTACTTCCCGGATGACCAGGCCGCAACACCAAAGCACCGCAGGGCCCGACGTTCCCCCTCTCGGGACCGACCCGTGCTCACACCCGATGCGGTCATGGAGGCTGCGGAACCGTAGGCATGGCGAGACTTTACCCCTCTTTCCCTCCCATCTTCTACGCTCCCCTGCCCATGCCTGAGATTACCGAACCTGCCCAGCTTATAGACTGGTCTCTGGCCTGTTACAGCCATTGCCATAACGGCCCCCGGAGCATCTCCCCAGGCCTACCACCACTACTGACTCGTGGAGTCCCATCCCTGGGGGTTGTCGGCGTACTGCTGAACTGTGTTCCCTTAAAGTCACCCCCAGGCCGCAGCGCACTCCCCCAGGCCCATAAGGCCTACATTAGGGGGACCCTCATAAAGCTCGGGTCCAGGCGTAAGAAACAGAGACTGGAGCAACAGACTGCACTTTAAACACAAATACATTCCCTGGAAATCCTCCATAAAAGACGTCGAGACCCGGCTGTCCTAGCTCAGCTGCTGGTAGCCCGAGACGCCCTCCGCTCACTGGGCATGGACAGGGCCAAAGCCACCCTCACCAAGTGCCGCAGGCACTTCTACGAGTACGGTAATCAACGTAGCGGCTCCCTCGCCCAAGCGTTACGCCAGCAGCGCACGCGGACCTTTATCACAGTGATTAAACACCCAGAGGGCCACCCTTGTCACCTGTCAGAAGACATAGCCGCAGCGTTCCGCGACTATTATGCTACCCTCTATAACATCCCGGGCCTGCAATCTGCTGCGGCCCTGACCTCACGCCAACGACGCATTCGGTCCTATCTGACGGAATCCACCATGCCCTACCTACACCCCGAGGCCCTTTTATCCCTGGAAGATCCAATTTCCATGGAGGAGTTAGAGGTGGCACTCAACAAACCAAGACGGGCAAACCCAAGGTCCTGATGGGTTCACTCTCGCATACTACAAGAAGTTTCCCACCTTACTCCACAGCCGTATGCTTGCGGCCTGGAATGCGATCCGGGAGATGCACGACCTTCCCAGTGATGCTCTCGCGGCTCACACACGGTGATCCCTAAACCGGATAAGGATCCCACGACCTGTCCCAGCTATCGCCCCATCTCCCTCCTTAACGTGGACATCAAGCTCTTTGCGAAAGTTCTAGCCACGCGACTTCTCCCGTTTCTCCACCCCCTGATCCACCCGGACCAGGCTGGCTTTGTCCCAGCCAGGTAAGCTAGGGACAATACTATTCAGGCTCTTAACATCATCCACTCGGTTCGGTCGAAGACCTCCCCGTACCTACTGTTGTCGACTGATGCAGAGAAGGCCTTCGACAGGGTCGACTGGTCCTTTCTCCACCTCACCCTGGAGCACATCGGGCTGGGCAAGGGCATGCTAGCATGGATCCTAGCTCTTTACTCGAATCCCACGGCCTGCGTAAGCTTTAACGGTACCCTATCTGCACCCCTCACCATAGGCAACGGTACCAGACAGGGATGCCCGCTCTCCCCCCTCATTTTCACATGGACGCTTGAACCGCTGCTGCGGACCATCCGGGCCCACCCGGATATCAAGGGCATCACAGTAGGACCCCTCCAACATAAGATAGCTGCCTACGCAGATGACCTACTGTTTGTCTCCTCTCCAGATACCACGCTACCCAATTTGACATGTGCCCTACGCCAATATGGCGATCTTGCTAACTTCCATATCAACACCCAAAAATCGGAAGCCCTCAATCTGACAGTACCTGCACGGATGCTCTCCCGTATTCAGCAGAACTTCCCGTACCACTGGGCCCCTACCGCCATCAAATACTTGGGTGTAAAACTTGGGGTCCCAACTGTACAGTCTAAACTTTCCACCCCTGCTACTGAAGGTTAAATCAGATCTAGAGGGATGGGCCAGAAACACGTTTTCCTGGACTGGTCGATGTAATGTTGTAAAACAGAACATCCTTCCACGCTTCATTTATCCCTTAAAGGCCCTCCCGATACGAATCCCTCGGGCTTATTTCCGCTCCTTTCAAGCAGCGATATCCTCCTTCGTTTGGGCAGGCAAGACCCCCAGACTACGCCCGTCGGTCCTTCGATGGCCAAAACTGGCGGGTGGCCTGGGCCTTCCAGACCTCTACCTGTATTACATGGCTTCCCACCTGACACGAATCGTGGACTGGTGCAGACACGGGGAGACTAAACCTTGGGTGTCATTGGAGCAGTCCATAACATCGATTCCCCTTCAGGCCCTCCCCTGGTGCGGGACGGCACTACCCAAACAACTAAACATCCACCCAACGGTGGGCCCCACATGGCAGGTGGCCCAGGCGGCGTTCAGGGTTAAACATCTGTCCCCATCTCCATCTCCCATGTATCCGATCCTTGCCAACCCAGAGTTCCCTCCCGGTTTGGAAGACAGTTTACTGCGCCGTCTTGTAGGCCTGGGACGGTTTCGGGCGATGCACCTTATCCAGGACTCACAATAAAACTGTTCAATAAAGAATTTATAAAAAAAAGAAGCCGGACGGTCCACCCCGTGATGTGCTGGTTAAGCTGCATTATTATCGTACCAAAGAGTCACTCCTCATGGCGGCCAGAAAAGGCCTCCCAAGCTACGCTGTCCTTCCAAGGCCATGACTATCAGCTCTTTAGCGATCTGGCCCCGTCCACCATCTCCAAACGAAAGGAGTTGAAACCCTGCCTAGAAGTGCTGACCAAACACCATATTCCCTTACAAATGGGGCTACACTTTTCGCCTTCTCTTTGCACACGACGGAAGACATCACTCCTGCACCACCTTGGAAGAGACCCGGGCCAAACTATCCACCCTTGGCTTGCAGGATCCTCACTCAACACAGGGCGCATCCAAAATTACGGCCGCCTCATCTAAGCGTACTCGCTGTGATTCTGACCACAACCACTCAGGAGAATCCCACGGGCCAGCCACTAAGATGACACCCAGGCAAGGCACGTCAGATTGATTGACTCTGGTGCCTCATCAAACGGATGCCACCGCTTTTTCAGCGACCCCCTGGGAGACCCACAGCGTCATTTAATTGATCCCCCTAACCACTAATCTCTGGGACAGAAGTGACCGACCTCATGCTATTCCTACCTCCGACTGGGGTTGAGATTTGTTCTCATTGCACACCATACGCATACCCCCCTACTTTGCCCCGGCTGCAAGGCCTGTTGAAATACCCCCTTCCCCGTTGGATTGTTGAATGGAGGCACCCAACTGTGTTATCCACATGGCTGCCAAGTTCAGAGGCTGCAGCATGCGAAGTCCTGTGTGGCAGCTGCCCGCAGAACACTTCCCACACCAATGGTGAGGTTGTCTTGTTCTATCAGACATAGAGATCTTAGTAAACTAGTTGAAATTAATAGCCATACGGGAGGGTCTCCAACCCAGCTCGTCAGGGCCCAGCCAGAAGGATGTCAGTATCATATGACCCAGATACCTAGTTACTACTCCACTAGCCTCAAAAGGCCCTCTCAGACCGTGTCCGTGAAGGTAAAACCCTGAACTATTACTACAATACTCTGATCCTCGAGACTGAGCAACCACTATTTATCCTCACACCTCTAGTTAAGCAATGTATTGACTACTGTTTCTCTGTTTTGTCTTAACCTACTAAGCTCATGTTATGTTTCCCTGTTTGGAACGGTTACCATTTGAGTTCCTGGATCCTTCCTATAGTGAAGATTTTGGTATACTACTGTATACGATTGTCCGGGGGAGTTAGTCAATGTGCTCCCTCGACCTTGGGTGGCTAGGGATCACATGGATCCCCCTACCCAACATTACAACATTGATGCGGATATTCTTCGCCTGCAGCACTTGGTGCAAACTGTGCTTTTTGTTTTGCATTTATTGTCATGCTATATCTATTGCATCCCTATACCTCCTGTCCCTCTCTCCCTACGTGGCGGGACCTGGTCATGACCTGTATAATGGCCCGTCCCCATTCCTCATTGGATCTTTAAAAGGCAGCTCCTCACAACACCAGTGCCATGACCCTCAAAATTTTAAGCCTTCATGTCCAGGGCCTTAACTCTAATAAACTAACACGGGCCTTCCGTTTTTTCCGCTCCTCTCATACAGACATTGTCTGCCTGCAGGAGACTCATTTCTCTAGGACATAATGCCCCAAATACTTTCATGCCCGGTACCCTACCATATACATTGCCAATGACAACTGTAAGAGAAAAAGGAGTTTTAATTGGCTTCTGCCACTTCGATAACTTTATATGCCACGCCACAGTTCGGGACCCTCTCGGCAGATACTTAATCTTTACAGAGCTCTTACAAAACGCTGAAGTCACACGGGTCTCTTACTACGCTCCCAATACCGATCAGCTTCCTTTTTTTTTACAGACCTATTAAAAAAAATACAAGCTAGCAGCAT